TGACATCCTACAAAAGCAGTTACAGTCCCACAAAGGATGAGCTGCGACTCACTGAGACAGCTAGCGAGGGGGAAAAAAAAAAAAAATCAAATCAGAAACAGAGCTGGACTAAAGCTCCAGCTTATGACATGAAATACACCATCAAAAATCGGTACGAGAAGGGAGCGGAAGCTGCAATTCCAGCACGGAGGAAACTTATCTACTTCCACCAACATACATTCCAGGGAGGAAAAAAAAATTGATAGGACAAAGACAGATGCTTTGCGAGTCTACAAATACCACCAAGATAACAAATTACGGGAGGGAGTTGTTCACCTCCCAAAAAGGAAAGCTGGGCCACAAAGGAAGAAGCTTGAGCTAGACAGGTCTAGTAAGTCACGGCACTGGGGCAACAAGACAGACCCCTACAGGAGACGCAACACGGCCACAAAAAGGCAAGAAGAGGTTTGAAACGGCCATACATAATGGGTGCGCTCACTGTGAAAGCAGCAGAGCTCCCTGGTTTGCAGAAGTACTTTGGACACTGAAGAAGCACAAACTATTTTATGCTACAAAGTTATAAGGAATTTCCCCGAGTGGCCCAGCTAGGGCACAACTTAAGATATCCAAGTGACACCTACGGCTTACTCTAGATACTATTTTGATTGGAATTAGCAATAAATTGCTCCTTTTTCCATTAAACCTGAAAAGTGTCTGGCAGCCATTTGAAGTCAGAGTTTTCATTGGGAAATTCAAAGTTTGCTGCAGTTTCGAAGATGCTATACACATTATGATTTTAGCTACTTGAAAAAAAATTCAAAGGCTGAGATCTTAGAAGTCTCCACAGGAATCAAAGTTATGTACAGGGAGCGTATCCTCCCACTTTATGATTGGCTCTAGCATTTTAACGAACAATGAAGAAACCCAGTTGTTAGCTACTTCATAGATCAGGCCACACTTCAGACTACACAGGAAACAAATGCAAAAGCCACTTCATTAAAATATAAAAGTGAGCGTGCAATCACGGTCAATCCAGAGTCAAACAAATTCTCTATACAACTCATACTTTGAGCTTTTATTTGCTATCACAGAATATTCACAAGAGTGCTCAGTGTCTACTTCCTCTCACCATCCCTGCCGCTTGGGGTTCCTCCAGGTGAATCCTTCTCCGCACAAGACTATTTCACCTTAGATTCAGCACAATTCAGTCCTCTTGGGAAAAGTAACAGAGACAGGAGAAAAACGTATGACGAGAAGGAGGTTCCTGCCGAGGCGGCTTGGGGTAGCTGGTGTCTCTTTTACCAAGGCACAGTGGGGACCTCGGACCTCCTCCCACAGTCAGGTGGGCCAAACATGCAGCAGACCAGAAAAAAAAAAAAACCACAATTCCACTACGCTTAAAAATGCGTTGACAACCACTAACTTCAACACTGCATGCATTCCTCTTCCTAGGAAAACCTTGCCAAAAAAGTGGTGGTTTTTCCTTTGTTTTCACATTCAGCAGATCCAATATGCTTTTGTGTCTTACTTAAGCAACCCAATACATAGAGGTCTCTCACAAATCCCCAAGCGTTGCATTTGAGTCTGCTCACCCTGGATTAGTCATGAAACAAGTGCGGAGTCCAAGGGTATTTATCAGCCTCTCCAGATGAGGGCTAACACTTGGACTGGAAGACAGCAGAAAAAAGCATGTGAAGTTAAGAGGAACTGATGACTAGGGCGAGTAGCTAATGACTTAACTGTTCCTTTCCTCACTCTTCAGTGGTTTGCCAGGGCATGATAAAAATCTATCATCTCTGCCTCTAAGCTAACAGCTTCCTTGGGATATGAGAAATAACAAGTGATTGCTTGCTGAGGTATTCACAAGCGGAAGCTGATCACATCCCCAACTTGGAAAATGCTACAAATGACTAAGTCCGCAGAAAATGTCAAGTGCCCCCATGCAGTAAGAGTCAGTGTCTGCAGTAAGGGCTGGTTTTGATTTGACTGTTGCTTTCTGTGTTTGGATGGCAAGAGTTTTGATCACCTTTTAAAGCAGTAGTGTATGAAATGTATATGCACATTGGTCACTCTGGGCCTCTGCAGCATCTCTGACATTGCTCAAGAGATCAAACGTGTCTACAGGTTTTCCACAGAGATCTTTGCTATTTTCATAGCCAGACTTGTACAGTGTACACATTCATGCCAACACGTGCCAACAATGGACAAGGCACAGACATAAGTTACAGGTATTTTGACACTCAGCATTGGGATAGCCAAGTGAAGACGTGTACCAAGGGGGTCCATCGGCACAGAGTTGAGAAAGCCTGTTACAAAGGAGGAGAAATGGAATCAGCCATGCACTACCCACAAAGACCTGCATGAAACAAAGCCCATTAAACTACATCCACTACCTGTTTCCACTGAAGCTGGATTTGTTCCCATGTCCACTGCTTCCCACAGTTGCCTCCTTTTTCTCCCAGTATACTGCAGGCCTCCTCTTAGATCATGCTCTGCCTCTGAAGAGCAGAAAAAGTCAGAGAAAAATGAAGGTGTTCCCCAGCACGGCATAAAAGGGAACAACATCTGCTAAGATGAAAGGTGGCATGAAGGAACCAGGTTACACGGGGACAGCTTGGATAAATTCCTACTCTTGTAGGCAGGTGTCATTTGACATCAGATAATCTCTTTTCCCTATTCCCTCTGTGGTTGAGGATCCCCCAGCCCATCCAGAGCAGATGCACATGCCTGCAGCACACAGCGTTACCGCTTGCCTGATGAAGGACGTCTCTCAGCACACAGGCTGCAGCACAATCAGAAGCTCCCCAGGTGTACATCTGTGGCTGCGCTAGTCTCCCCGCTTACATTAACTCTGCACGTGGCTTCCTTTGGGTTGGCTTTACAGTATCACCACAGGTCAGGGCAAGCCTGGAAGCTCCCTTTAAAACCAGGGTTTGAAGTCAAATGCTTGAGATTTGGCAAGCACAGGTGAGTATCAGTCTGGCATAGCCAAAGCAAATTTAACAGCTGGAAATACTACTCCTGTTCACTGTTGAGTGCTGACCACCAGAGTTCAAGGGAATTCTGGTCACTGCGCAGAGAACTGCTGCGACTCTTGACGGTTGAGAGAGAAGATTAAGCTAATGATCTTGTTAAAATGCACATATTTGGAAGCCAACAATCCCAGGCTCCCTATAGGTGTGCTGGCACCATCACTGAACAGTTTTTTGGAAGGAGGACTGGCACCATGCCATGCAAGGGGCAACTACTGCCTTTAATCTGCCAGAGTTGTCACCAACCACTTCAGAGCTGTGAACCCACTCCCCACAACAGTGATCAAGGATGGGCCCCCCTGAAGAAAGGGTTCAACAGCACAAAGAGCAACACCACTCTTGC